CCTCAGAGGCTTTCCCTGTCACAAACGGCGTTAAGCAAGGCTGCATGCTGGCACCAACCTTGTTCAGCATGATGTTTTCAGCCATGCTGTCTGACGCCTTTCAGAACAACTCAGTGGGAGTCAATCTGAGGTACAGAACCGATGGGAAATTGTTCAACCTGCGAAGACTCCAGGCTGTCACCAAGGTAAAGGAGACTGTGCTACGAGATCTTTTCTTTGCTGATGACTGTGCCCTTAATGCAGGATCGGAGCAGGAAATGCAAGCCAGCATGGACAAATTCGCAGCCGCTTGTGACAACTTTGGCCTCTTTATCAACACGAAGAAAACTGAAGTGATGTACCAGCCAGTTCCAAAAGCCCAATACCAAGAGCCTACCATCACAGTGAAGGGACAAAATCTGCAAGCAGTGGACCAATTTACGTATCTTGGTAGTACCCTCTCCCGTGCAGTGACAATTGACATCGAGGTCAACTGTAGAATTGCCAAGGCAAGTTCTGCATTTGGCAGACTGCAGACTAATGTGTGGGACCGTCGGGAATAAGCCTTGCTACTAAGCTTAAAGTTTACCAGGCAGCAGTGCTAATTACCCTGATGTATGCTAGTGAGACCTGGACAGTGTACAGGAGGCACGTCAGGCAACTGAATTATTTCCACATGACTTGCCTTCGCAGAATTCTGAGGATCCGGTGGCAGGATAAGATGCCAGATACAGATGTCCTCTCCAGAGCAGGCCTATCATCAGTTTACACTCTGTTGATGAAAGCCCAGATGCGCTGGGCAGGTCACGTTGTAAGGATGCCAGACCATCGCATCCCTAAACAGCTCTTCTATGGTGAGCTGTCTCAAGGAAAGCGATCGCACGGGGGACAAAAGAAGCGATACAAAGACACGCTGAAAGCATCTCTCAAGTCCCTGGATATCGACACCATCTCTTGGGAATCTTTGGTGCATCGACATGGCGTACCCTGGTTTACCAGGGTTGCCAGACATATGAACACAGAAGGACAATCTTGGCACAAGAGAAGCGAGCACTCCGTAAAGCCAGAGCTGCAAATGCTGAAGCAATAGTGTCCACTTTTCTCTGTTCAGTATGTGGCAGAACATTCCGTGCTAACATCGGTCTTATCAGCCATCTACGGACACACCGTTG